CTCTCTCTCTCTCTCTCTCTCTCTCTCTCTCTCTCTCTCTCTCTCTCTCACTCACACACACACACACATACACAAACACACACACACACACACACTGCTGCCCCAGTCCTGGATGACAACAAGAAGCTGTGCCTCAACAGCGGAGAGATCATAGCCATGCAGGTGGGGTACTTTTACTCCAGAGGGGTGACCCCGTAACCCAGCAGGCCGTCAGCTGATTGTTAGTTGAGCTGTTGCGCAAGTGAATTGTGCAGTGTTGGCAATGGTGATGCTGGCTCCTTGGTTCACACGACTGGACGCCAATGAGCTTGAAACACAATCACGTACCTTGCTCACTGTACACCAGGCGTCGCAGCAACAGCAGGGATCTGCCCCTCTAACATTTCCCTGCTATTTGCCCAGCCATCCCCGTCTTGAGTCTCAGTTTCTAATTTGTACATAACCACTTGATCCTTGAACGCATTGATCCTTCACAGACCACCGTTGCATCCAGGTGTTTCTTGAATCTTCCCTGTGCCCACTCTTTCGTCCACTTGCACAATCTTAGGGCCTGATGAACCTCATCTTTGAGGTCGCCGACCTGTCGGTCGCGTCTCCGGCGACCGTCAGCCGCTGCGGCATGGTGTACGTTCAGGTGCATGCGGGCAGGCATTCGGGCAGGACCATATGATGAAATGCAGGTCGAGCGGGCAGACACGGTGTCCAGATCCTCTCGAACCCAATCACAGCCCTTCTCTGGAGCTGTGTGCTCGGCTCCCGCCCCCAGGCCCAGCCCGTCCCCGCCGCCTGCTCGCCCCCCGCACCCCGGGACCCTTCCCACCTCTCTCCCCCGCCCGCCGGCAGCCGGACCTGTTGGGCTGGCGCCCCGTGTTCGATTCCTGGCTGGCAGCGCTGCCGGCCGCGATAACCTCGGAGGACCGGGAGGAGCTGTCGCAGCTGGCGGCGTGGCTGCTGCCGCCCTGCCTGAGGATGGCGGCCAAGGGGTGCCCCCAGGTGGGTGGGGAGGATGGGAACGAGCCCTGTATACATGGTTGGGGCCATGGCGCAACAATAACATCGCTTTCAATCCGGCGTTCACGTGGGCATTGGCATTGGCTTGAACTTTGGCAACAATGTTTGGCTCGATGTATTGTTTTGGCTTGTCTAGCCAGTCAAACATCTGCAGAGGGCAGATGATTGGGTGCCATGCCGCATGTATCTTCTCAAACTAGATGGCTTTGCTAACTGACACGCTGACACTGCCATACGCGCGCCGGCTCCCGCCACGTCGGGGCGACCCATTGGCTTCCCAGGTGCTGGCCGTGCACGAGATCAATTTGGCGGTCTCCTGCATGAGGCTGGTGGAGGCGCACCTGGACGACCTAGTCAGGTGCGTTACAGGAGGGCTGCTTGCGAGGGTTGACCGGTCTGACCCGTGCGTGCCGGCACCAGTGCGCCTCTGCCTCCGTGCCTGACACTTTGGGGGCAGCAGGCCGTCGCGCTAGACGCAGCGCTTGAGAAAAGGAATCCTACCAAGTAGAGTGCTTGGCCTGGCAATGCAGCAAGACTGCGCCTTGGTGCCTCTGTGTGCAATCATGCTTTGTCTCTCCCACTTGCACTCTCCCAGGTCCGAGGCGCTTGCAGCTGACACGCCACCCGAGAAGCGCAGCGCGCTGCTGCAGTGCACCTTCCTGTTCAGCCTCGTCTGGAGCGTCGGCGCCAACACTGACGGCGAGGGGCGCGCAAAGTGGGTGGCTTGTTCCTGCGCAGAGGTCGGCGGTGCCGCCTCCCACGCACCTGCACTCTGTTGAGAATCCCGGCGATAGGGCGTGTTTTGCAAGACCGCCTCACGATTTTGTGACAGGCTGTGCGAACAGCTCACAAGTTGTTCTGGTTCCACGGCGCTGTGACGCAGGTTCGACGCGGCCCTGCGTCGCCTGATCGCGTCCGCCGCCGGCCAGGGCGGGCCGCCGCCGGAGCTGGCCGCGCACATCACGGCACCCGGCGCGCGGGTGGCGGTGCCCTTCCCGGAGGGCCGCTCGGTCTACGATTTCGTGCTTGACAGGTGCAGCGCGCTTTTGCAAGCAGCACCTCCCACTTTTCATATTGGAGCGGGCTGGTGTTGACTCAGAAGGGCTGCCTTCAGAAGGGGGGGCCCTTACAGTGACATTGACCTTCAAAGGCTTCACCAGTAGTGGGCCGTCACTGCGGCAGCGAGGCTGTCCCGCAGCTTGCCCGACGTCCCCATATTCATATAGTAGCTAAGTTTGATCCTGCTTGCACGACATCATAATAATCAATGCTGCTGCTCCTCCCTCCTGATGCCGCCTCGGCCCTTCTGACGCCCCCCCCTTCCCCCTCAGCTCCAAGCTCAAGTGGCAGGGCTGGACCGATCGGCTGGACGCAGCGCCCATCAACCCAGATGCGGAGTACACCTCAATCATAGTGCCCACCACAGGTGCGGGCAAGTCGAGATATGACAATCGCTATCCAATAGCCAAACCCATCCATCACTGCGCTGCTTCGGTGCCGGCCAGCTCGAGCGGCGCCATCCGCACGCAATCAGCGACCTGGGCAGCGATGCACTTCATGCACTGCCACCGGTACCGTACACCCCAGTGTAGAGCAGCCCGCACGGCGCATGCCTGTTTTGAATGTGCCCGAGCGCGCCGACATCGAGCGCTTGCCAGTGATCGCGTCCACCCACCGCACCAACCGACCTCCAACCGACCTTGAACCGCCCTTTGAGCAGACACACTGCGGTACACGTACCTTTTGGACGTCCTGGCGCGCGCGCACCGCCACGTGCTGCTCGTCGGGCCAACAGGCAAGTCGGACGCGCCTGCTGGCATGTTGCAATCCAGCCTAGCCCCGCCGCAGCACGCGGCTGGTGCTGCATGTGATGCCGCCCCGCAAGAGTCAGCAGTAGCCCTCCGATCCTTTTGACAGCATCTCGCGGTTGCCCGCTTCTGGAGTCATCCAGGCTCATAATGTGGGTCTTTGGAGCATCAAATATGCGTGACTCCGTAGTTGGTGGCTACTCTACAAATGGCAGGGGCCGTGCTTGATGGTTGCGTACGGTACACGTAGCGCCCCTCCCACTCTCTTGTCTTACGAACCTCCACTGCCTGGTCTTGCCGTGCCGCGCCCCGCCCACCGCCGTTTCTGTCCCGCAGGCACCGGCAAGACGGCCTACGTGAAGCGCCACCTGGCGTCCGGCCTGCCGGCGGCGTCGTTTGTCCCGTGCCTGCTGAACTTCAGCGCTCAGACCAGCGCCAACACGACACAGGTGACAGGCAGGCGCCGGGACGGGGAGCAGCATGCGGCCTTGCCGTGCGAACTATACAATGATGTCACAGTCGTCGTCCTTGATATGCTGCTCGCATCTGTGTCTGCTTCACCCAGCAGGAGCATGCAAGCAGGATTGGCAACCTGCCCGATTGCAGAGTGTTCACCCCACCACCACCAACCACCGCCAACCGCCACGGACTGCCCGCCCCAGGACGTCGTTGATGGCCGGCTGGACAAGCGGCGTCGCGGCGTGTGGGGCCCGGCCGGCGGCCGCAGGATGGTGGTGTTTGTGGACGACCTCAACATGCCTCAGGCGAGGCCGAATCACGCCCTTTGCTATCCCTGCCAGCTTTTACAAGGTCAAATGACTGACTGGTGCAATCGTCTCCAACAAGAATAAAACTGATCAACTATGTATGTCATGTAAATCGCAATATACACAGCCAGCGAAACTCTTGTCACACTTCTTTGCCTGCACCTTCCTCAAATTTCACGTCATCACAACCTGCAGCCGGAGCAGTACGGCGCCCAGCCGCCGATCGAGCTGCTGCGCCAATGGATGGACCATGGCGGCTGGTACGACCGGAAGGAGCTCGCATTCAAGACACTGGAGGGCTTGCAATTCGCCGCCGCTATGGGGCCGCCCGGCGGCGGCCGCAACGCAGTGACGGGGCGCTTCCTGCGCCACTTCTCAGTCATCAGGTGGGCCCTTTGTGGGCGCCTGAGTCACACTCCCATCACGAGCAAGAGCTCACCTGCTCTGGCTGCACCGTGTGCAATCTGGGTTTTTTTTGCCTGACTCGCTCTGGCTGGCCCAGGCCAGGGGATGTGGACCCTGGTCAAACTTCGGTCACATCGCAGCAATCCCACTCCCCTGCCGCCCGCAGCGTGACCGCTTTTGATCGCGACAACCTGAGCCTCATCTTCAGCGCCCTAACAGACTGGTGGCTCAAGAAGTGGAGCTATGGGCAGGTTTGTGACCAGCCATGGGGACCATGGTTGCATTGCTCTCGGGGGACCCGCGGGGCCTTCTACCTATTGACAAAGCCGTTTCATGTCCAGTTTGCGGTGCTGGCTGGTCTGACTGCTGGGCTCACGCACCTCGCTGCTTGCAGAACATCACGCGGCTGGCGAAGCCGTTGGTGGCGGCCACGCTGGATGTTTATGAGCAGGTGCGGGTGGTGCAATGGTGTCCCTCCCCCTCCGCTCTCAAACAACCGTCTGCCTTGCCCAGCGCCAGCCGTGCACCTGGTGCCCAGACTGCATGGCAGCCTGCCTTTGCCGGCTGCAAGCCGCTGCTGCATGCGCAAGGAATCGCTGGCTTGGACCGCGGCTCACCGCCGGCTACGCCGCACTTCGTGCGTGGGAGCCCCAACCCACCCATCCTTCTTGCCGTTGGGTGCCGACCCTGCCTGCTTGGGGCCTCCCCTTAGGTCCAGTCCAAGCTGCTCCCCACCCCTGCCAAGAGCCACTACACTTTCAACCTGCGGGACGTGTCCAAGGCCTTCCAGGTGTGACGGCTGAAAGTCAACTGTGTGGGGTGCAGGAATCGCGGCAGGCAGGCAGGCAGCGAGGCAGGTTGGCAGGCAGGCAGCTAGACGGGCAGGCGGGCTGGCGAGCAGTCGGGCAGGCGGCCTGTGATGGCAGGGCCTCAGATCCGTGCAAGACCTGCAACCCAAAGTGTGCCGGGGTCTCGATTGAGTACACTTCCTGTGGGAAAGTCTCTGCAGCGTCCCCGGCTGTGTCATCGCTCCCCGCTGCAACCCCTTACACCATGGAACAACCATCGCCACGCTCAGGGCATGACGCGCGCCGCCAACTGCGTGGAGGACTCCCCGACTCTTGTACGGCTGTGGGTGCACGAGGTCTTGCGGGTGTTCTACGACAGGCGAGTGCGACGCCATCACTATGTCACGCTCTGCCGCCCTTGCCTCGCTCGTTGTGCTCTTCGGCGCTGCCGGTGCATTGGAGGGCACAGGCGGTGCCGAGCGGTCTGCTTGAAGCCCATTTTTTGTTCGCCTGGCACCCAAGTTGCACCCGACATGCAACTCAGCGGTTTGGGCCGGCTCGCAGTCGCATGCAACAAAGCAGTACCCGCGGTTGTTGCAACAAACCACCCTTGAAGCGCACGCATTCGCTACACCATCACAATGAAACTCAGGCTGGTATCCGACGAGGATCGCCTGTGGACGGGCCGCCTCTTGGAGGGCCTGACAGACGCCCACTTCAAGGAGCGCCTGCCGCGCCTGCTGGGGGCCGCCGGAGAGGGCGGCGGGGCAATGAGCGACACAGACCTGATGGCGGGCCTGAGGGGCCTCATGTTTGGAGACTTCCTGAACACCCCCGCGGGCTCAGGTGTGACGAGGCGGCATTGGGCGCTCATGGATTGCGACCGCGCACAGTTACGCCCTCGCCTGCGCGCCGCCCCTCGCGTCGGCTGCGGCACACAGGTGGGTGATGAACTGATGATGCCGCAAGTGGTTGCGTTTTCAAACTGAGCAGGGAATACTTGTCAAACCTCATACACGCTCGCTCAGACCGCCCACTGCCCTTTGCGTTTCCCCCCACCCCGCCAGATTCCCGGCAGTACCGCCAGCTGACGGACCCCTCGAAGCTGCTGACCGCAGTCAGCGACGCCCTGGCAGAGATGAACGCGGGCAGCAAGAGGTGCGCGGGACGACTGCGCGTTCATGGTCTTTTCCTGAATTTTGCCACCTGCAGCAGCTCTCTGCACTGATAACTGCAAGCGGCGCGACTTAGCACTTCGGCGGGTCCTGTGGTACTCAGGCTTGGTCTCGTCCTGCTCACTGTCCAGTCATGTGACACTACATGTCACTGGTAGTACCAGGCCCCATCGTTTGCCGGCTCGGCCCCGTCCACCACCAAACCAATCCACAGGCCCATGGCGCTTGTGCTGTTCCAGTTTGCGCTGGAGCACGTGTGCCGTATCGCCCGCGTAATCGGCACACCCGGCGGGCACGCGCTGCTGGTTGGGCTGGGCGGGAGTGGCAGGCAGAGCCTCACGCGCCTGGCCGCATACATGGCTGACATGGAGGTGGGGCACTTGAAGGGCTTGTGGGGGTGGAGAGCATCCAAGGGCCCCAGGCAGAACAGACAAGAGAGGGTTTTCCAGTTTCAAGTGACGTGTGACGTGGCAATTCATCTTACAGGGGCGTCGCAGGAGGCCCCCCACTGGTCAGTCGGCCTTGTGTGGTGAAATGGCCAGTTGGGGTGTTGAAAACAACTCTGATTCGTCGCCCCTCGTTCACCCAATGGCACGTTTTCAGGTGGTCCAGATTGAGATATCTAAAACATACGGCCAGGAGGAGTGGCATGAGGACCTGCGGAAGCTGCTCAAGAAAGCTGGGGAAGCCAGCAAGAAGGTGCATGCGTCGAAACGGGATCGCCGGGCCCGCTGTGTGTTTTGTTTTTGTGCACGGCCTGTGGATTGATAACAACGGGGGTTTTCCTTTGAAGTGGCCCTCTGCGGGACCCTCCACTCAGAGATGACATCGATGCTTAGCTCTGCATTAGCCCTGAGGACCTTGTCAATCTTCTGGACCCTCACTCTCTCTCTCTCTTACTGACTATTTGGCACTTCACAGGTTGTCTTCCTATTTAGCGACACCCAGTGCCGCAGCGAGTCATGGGTTGAGGACGTGTCAAACCTCCTGAACACCGGGGAGGTGCCTAACCTCTTGTCACCAGGTGAGCCCCAGCCTGCCCTTCCTTCCGCTGGTTTTGGCGATGCATGTGATGGCTGTGCCGCCAGGTTTTGCATTTGCAGCTGCATGCAGCCAGTGTTATATGTGTGGGGTAAATGTGCGTTGTGGCCCAAACAAGGTGGCGTTTGGGGCCCACCTATGCCGCCTCAGGCTCCTGTGGGATTTCATGCATGCAGCAGACAAGAGCAGAGGCAGTGTGTGTGTGTGTGTGTGTGTGTGTGTGTGTGTGTGTGTGTGTGTGTGTGTGTGTGCGCGCATGTGTACAGAACGCCGTGGCCTGTCCCTTGCTTGCGTGCCCAAGCACAGTCCAGAAGACCGAGCGATCCGCACCCAGGAGCAGGACTCCTCAACCGTGCTGGCACGCGATGCACGCACATCGAGCTGCTCAGTCCTGGCTGACTGCACTCCAAATGACCCTCGTCGGGCCGCTGCACCCCTCAAATAACCAGGCGACCTGGCCGCGATGGCTGAGACGATGCGGCCGCGCGCCAAGGCCGCCGGCAGGGACACCGCGTCAAAGGATGCCATGGCTGCTTTCTTCCTGGAGGAGGTGCGGGGCACGCGGAGGGGAGGGGATGGGTGGGCAGTGGAAGGGATGGGTGGGTCTTGGGTTTAGGGGAGGAAATGGGAGGGGAGGGAATGGG